ACACACACACACACACACACACACACACACACACAAAATCAGGTGAATTCAACTATTCACGAAACTAATGAGGTTTTAATGCTCCCAATCCTTAACCTGAGATGATCGTATATATACATAGCCATGTTTGTACAGTGGCACATTTATGCTTCTGCTCATGCTCAATTCATCCGTCTTTGACTCTCAGACCGCGCCACTACAGGCTTGTGTATAGGCACTGGCCAACTTGTATCAGTCAATACTTGCGCTTCCTCTGAGCCTCCAGCTGACTGTTTGTTGCTCTCGTCTCACGCGCCACCTCCGCATAGTTGCCCCCTTAATCCCAGACTGGCAGTCTAGTTTCATTTTTCTACCCTTACCCCAACATCCACCTCCTAAACGCAATACTTTACTGTTCCCAAGGCTACCAGTCTTCCTCTGGCCTACAATTGTTTGTGTCGTTTAGCTTTTAGGCTTTAGGCGTGCGTGTATGTGCTTATTCATCTCACTATAAGTTTGAATGCCCACATTGCTGCCAAGTTGATGTATTCTCCATAAACAAATGTTTATTTATTTCTAGTCTTTCTCCATTATATGTTTATCTTTTACTTCATTTCTCTTCCTTTATATTTTATTTTATCCCTTTTTTTTTCCATTCAAGGCCCATTTATGTATCTCTTTACCACCAGTGTTCATAACGTCTGTTTTATTTAACTCTAGACATATGCGTGCATGTGGATAGCCTCATTTATCCGCAACCCTTATGAAGACATGAATGCTTTCTTTATTTTGTATTCTTGCTTTTTTCTTGATCGGGTCTTTCAGTCCTTTCTTATGCATATTTTTTGTTTGCAAGTCGATTTTCGAGATTTCCAGTATAACATGCATATGGGAGGTATTTAACCTATTCCGTTTAAGGTGATAAAGGACTGTTAGCTGAATTTTACCACACTCAGATGAATATACCTTACTTTTCCATTGAATTTCACATGGCCTCGCTTAAGTATCTTCTCCTCCCAACTAGACCAGAACAGACTACAGTTTCGCCAACGCCTCAATTTGTCTCATCAGCATCCACAGCGGGACTCGAATTCGGACAGCACTAAGTCTCGACACGTTAATTAACATGCCAGACTACTACAAGTGCTCTCGTGTAATAGGGCAGACGTGATTTTCGAGGGAGTCTAGACCTTTTTCACATATCACTTTCTCTCGTGGGATTGTAAATTGCTATAGAAATCGACTTAATCGCCTTGAGCAAAATGGGGTGAATACATATGATGTATGCGCTGTGATAGTTATGAAAACCTTCATATAAAACGGAAAATATGTAGTGTAGTCTATTGTAATAGCAAATACAACTTTGCTTCATCGAAACTCACACCAACACGAGGAAAGTCTTAGGCTTCCTTGAAATTCGCTTCTATCCAGTGACCCATGGGCGCTTGTGGCAGTCTTACGTTGTGGTTAAGGTGTCGAGATTATACACTTCGTCACCACGTCCTAGGCTCGAGTCCCGTAGGGGTGCTGATGAAACTAGTTCAGCGAAGGTCTAATTGCAGTCCAGTTTTGATAGAATAGGTTTTGGAAAGCAAGGCTTTGTGCAATTTAATGCACTCTTGAGACTTACTAATATGTTTTTTTAAAATCTTACTCCTTTTTTTAACATTTTTTTGGGCTTTTACAAATCCATATTTTATTGTGGATCAACCATCCATCACGCCGGTACCTTTAAGATGGGTACTAATTCGTCATGTGATCAATACACTTCCTTCCCTCTTGCTCTTAATTATTTATTTGGGCATCTGTTTTAGCATAGATTAATTGTTATATTTTACTCTTCAAATAAATTGACTCTTTTCATCAATTTTTTTCCTTACTGTCTCCTTTTTGTCATTTGCTTCGATAGACATTATAAATACACGAAGTTGTTCAAATTTTCCACAGCACAAAGTGATTTGAATCGCTTGTTTATAAACTTGTTAGGTCTTCAAGTGAGTATAAAAAGTCTGTATTATGGTACCCTTCACCAAAGACATGTTCATTTTCATGCTTAAATCGGTTTTCATCATTTTCGCATTTCGGTTTTTCCAGGCTTCCACATCTGGACTTGTTTGCACGTATCTAGTCTGTTCCTACCTTATCCTACAATTCTATATTAGAATAAATGCCTATTTATATTCATAATGATTATGTGTTTGAAACTTTCATTGGTTATTGAATAATAACTTCAGTCAGCCTAGATCGCCTGAGGGTTTGAAAGGCTAATAGTAATCGTGATAGTGATGCCTCATGATACCATTACACTTCGCTTAGCCTTGCCTTCCAAAAGTTATTTTCATTCTGACTGGACTAGAGTTTTGACCTCGCCTGAGTCTCGTCAGCATCCCTTCAACCATCTGTCTTATTTCATTCTTTTTGGCCGTTATACTAAACACTGACAAAAACATCTGTCGACTCGGTCATGTAATTTTGATGTATAAATCAAATTCTAGTCTTACTTTCTTGTTTAGGTTCTTAATATTTTTACTAAGCTCGGTTATTTTTTCTGGCTTATTACCAAACTGTTTTATTTTCATAGCACCCTCTATCTCATATATTCATTCTTTATTTTAAGAATCCTGTATTTTCTTAATTCACTTATTTTTTTCGTTCCATTCTTATATGAAACCATTCCCCCCCGTAAACGAGGAGTATTTTCGTTCCCCTTCTTTTTTTGGTTATATTTTGATTTCATTTCTCTTTTGGCTTTTAAAACCTCTTGTTTTAATTTATTCTCTCTTTTCTCCCTAAATCCTATAGTTTTAGCTTCTGGCCACTTCTCCCTCCAGGACGGCCAGACTCCACTTCAACCTGCATACCACCACCTCATCCCGGGAGGCATTTCCGGACCGTCGACGCCCGGTTTCCCAGTCAGTGGTCCACTCGTCAACCAAACTCCGCTAGAATTTGACTCTTCAGCCCGAGCTATGCGTAACCGCCTCGGACAGCTTTCAATCTCTTAACACCGGACGACTGATGAATGGATTTGGACGACTTGATTCGGGTGCCATGGTTTTAAGAATACTCTTACCTATTTCTGTTTTTTTCTGCACGAATCCAAAGCCTTTCAACTAGTTTTATTATCTTCTTTTTCATACGGGCCTTTTCATCATTGTTTTTTCACGAATTCGCCTACATCAAACTGAGTAGCCTTGTTTTCCCTATCCCAAAATTTTGTGTCTTCTGCAACTAGCATCCTACTTTCCACTCTCAATCATGCATTATTAATTTCATTTCCCCCCCATCGCTATCCTGTTTTTTATATTTACCTTTGGTGTTGTATGCATGAACACCTTTCCCTTAATTTGTACCTCTAATATTTCCTTCACTCTCTGATTATACCTGTCATTATTTCCCTTCGTGAGACTGATCAGTCTCTGATTATACGAATTCTTTATCACTCTGTTTAATTAAAAAAAACAATCTTTTCGTAAATATTCTGAGGTTGATAAATGCGATTTCAATGACAACGAATAACCTCTCTTCTACAGGCTCCCAAAATTTGCGTCCTCTAGAGCCTGGGTATAAGGTTTATTGTAACTACCTCCAAATTAACCCTGCAGACCTTACCATATTTGGAACACAGGTCTCAAACCAAAGCAGCTCAACTTTGACTGATCAATCCTGCTTTTATAGGACG